ATGACAGTTTGCTGCGCCGTAAACAGGATTTTAGATGACGATGTAGCTAAGGACCAGTCACTGAATAGATTTCCTTATTTAAGAAAATAATAATATTTAGGAGAATACATTTTTGTACATAGGCTAAATTGGAAATGAAAGTTGATCTTTATATTAAGTGCCATCTATCGGACCTACCGCTTCTGCGATGTAGGCTATTTGCCTAAATACTAAAGCTTGCTAAATACCGGCACAGATCTATGTGTGTTGTAAATACAGTTATGGGCCCTAATTTAATGGGCGTTCCAAGTCTAAAGTATAACTAAAGCTAATTTAATACCATAACCAAGATGAATGCAAATGTTTCTGGGTCAGCTCAATGCTCCTACATGCCCCCTTTAGTTCATGCACTTTGACCGTCATCTCTATTAGGCCCTTTGAGTCTTGTGACACAAACTTTGAGATTTGTTTCCACTACAAACCTGGTATGGATCTTCACCCTCACGCTGGTTTTGAGACCATAGCAGGTGTGGTGACTGATTCCTCTCGGTGGACAGCCGATGGTGGTTCCAGCCCTCTTTGAACAACTGCAGATGTCTGTCAATTTGTGGAAGAAAGGCCCAGTGCAGTGCATACAGCTGGATCTCATTGTCCGGGTTGAGTAGACCTTCTGCCTCTAGGTTGCAGAATGTTGTGTAGAAAAGATCCAAAACTCCTCTAAAGACATTCAATTCAATTTCAATTCTTTTATTAAGGGATAGCCCCTTGAGATGATCCATCTCGTTTTCGAGGGGGTCCCAAGAACAACAGAGACAAACAATACACACAGTCACACATCCATACCAAAGCTCTTCATCACTACAAGCTAAACAGTCCAACATCTCTACACAAATATATTTATGCAGGTAAACAAACAAATAGAAAATATATGTATCTATATATATAGAACACTAAGCAGAAATAAAATAAGAATAAAAGACAAGTAAAGTACTCAGGAGAAAACCCACAATTGGAAAATCAGTTAAATAAATAAAAAAGATAAGAAGGAAATATAAGCATGTATATATGCACAACCGCACAGATGAATATAGGTACAGCAGCAGGTACATAACTTTTTGTTTTGTTTTGTTTTAAGGACCACGGCCAGGAAAGCAGGTGCACTGGTCTCTTGAATGCAGAAAACTTAATAAGGATGATTTAAAGTGAGGAAAAGATGAAATTGATCTCAATGATCTGGGTAAGCTATTCCAGTCAGAAGGGGCTTTAAATCTGAAGGCACGTCTTCCTATTTCTTTAGATATGCTTGGAACAGAAAAGAACAAATGATCAAGATGTCTAAGTCCATAAGTAGACCTATATGGATTCAAATGGTTTTGTAAATAGGATGGATAATTAAAGAAAAAACATTTATAAATAAACTGAAACCAGTGTAACTGCCGTCTAGTCTTAGGTGATAAGTCTTAGGTGACATCTCTCCACTATCTCTCTATCCTGGACAAACAGAAAAAATACAAAAACAAGAAATAAAGTCATGAATGACTTCAATGTACATATATTAAATGTATGAAATAAATATCCGCGCATGATGAGCAAAATGGACATACACTCACCGGCCACTTTATTAGGTACACCTGTCCAACTGCTCGTTAACACTTAATTTCTAAGCAGCCAATCACATGGTGGCAACTCAGTGCATTTAGGCATGTAGACATGGTCAAGACAATCTCCTGCAGTTCAAACCGAGCATCAGTATGGGGAAGAAAGGTGATTTGAGTGACTTTGAACGTGGCATGATTGTTGGTGCCAGAAGGGCTGGTCTGAGTATTTCAGAAACTGCTGATCTACTGGGATTATCACGCACAACCATCTCTAGGGTTTACAGAGAATGGTCCGAAAAAGAAAAAACATCCAGTGAGCGGCAGTTCTGTGGGCGGAAATGCCTTGTTGATGCCAGAGGTCAGAGGAGAATGGCCAGACTGGTTCGAGCTGATAGAAGGGCAACAGTGACTCAAATAACCACCCGTTACAACCAAGGTGGGCAGAAGAGCATCTCTGAACGCACAGTACGTCGAACTTTGAGGCAGATGGGCTACAGCAGCAGAAGACCACACCGGGTGCCACTCCTTTCAGCTAAGAACAGGAAACTGAGGCTACAATTTGCACAAGCTCATCGAAATTGGACAATAGAAGATTGGAAAAACGTTGCCTGGTCTGATGAGTCTCGATTTCTGCTGCAACATTCGGATGGTAGGGTCAGAATTTGGCGTCTACAACATGAAAGCATGGATCCATCCTGCCTTGTATCAACGGTTCAGGCTGGTGGTGGTGGTGTCATGGTGTGGGGAATATTTTCTTGGCACTCTTTGGGCCCCTTGGTACCAATTGAGCATTGTTGCAACTCCACAGCCTACCTGAGTATTGTTGCTGACCATGTCCATCCCTTTATGACCACAATGTACCCAACTTCTGATGGCTACTTTCAGCAGGATAATGCGCCATGTCATAAAGCTGGAATCATCTCAGACTGGTTTCTTGAACATGACAATGAGTTCACTGTACTCAAATGGCCTCCACAGTCACCAGATCTCAATCCAATAGAGCATCTTTGGGATGTAGTGGAACGGGAGATTCGCATCATGGATGCGCAGCCGACAAATCTGCGGCAACTGTGTGATGCCATCATGTCAATATGGACCAAACTCCCTGAGGAATGCTTCCAGCACCTTGTTGAATCTATGCCACAAAAAATTGAGGCAGTTCTGAAGGCAAAAGGGGGTCCAACCCGTTACTAGCATGGGGTACCTAATAAAGTGGCCGGTGAGTGTAGAAGAATAAAGTTTAGGACAAACACTTTTTATACACCATTTAATGTCCACAAAATAAAAAAAAAATGATTGTAGAGAACCCTTACTTCCAATAATTGCACTGTTCCCAGCAATTAACAATGTTACTAAAGTAATGTAACAGAACTAAAACTAAAAAAAAATAAGATGACACAAAGCAGAAGTTTTAAAAAGGCCAATAATATAAACAAGATTAAAAGTGGAACTTGCTACAGTTTTACAAAAGGAAATCACCTCTGGTTGTGTGTGCTTCTTCCTGTGAGATGAGAATTCCTATTTGGGCCTCTGGTGGACACCATGAAGTGGGCCACTTGGACATTCTCTCCTCCTTTATCAGAGCGAACACGGGATGGCACTCCATATTCACCTACTGCTTCAAGAAAGCAGTTGGCGACCGTTGATGCACGGTTATTGGTGGCGGCTTTTAAGTACACAATAAGACGGCTGAAGCCGTCAATGCTAGCCTGGGTGCCAGTCCGAACTTAGTCCCGCCCACAAGGTTTGAGTTCGGGGAAGTTCGGTCTGGCTCTGCTCCATAGTAGCGCGAGTATTAAAGCCCACTGTCAGGCGATCCAATCAAATTGTCAGGGCGGGCTTTATACGATGATGGACAGATGATCAAGAGTAACGTAATCAACCACGTGACCAAAGCGCGCTTGGGTGACAACAACAATGGCTGCCGCTGGAGAGTTTGGGTGAGTAGATTCTGCTATTAGGTCTGTTCTAGAAGATATCGACAGCAAATTAATTTTAAAAGAGGAACAGAGAAACGCGATCAAGTCTCATCTTCTTATTCTAGGCATGAAACTGCACGCTTTGATTTTTGTGGACAACAACTATGCGTTGCTTAACATACGTCACGCACTCCGTTGCTCTTATTGGTTGTAGGTCTGTCCAATTGAGTGCAGAGGCATTTTTTTTCCTGGTTCGTTCAAAACACGCCCCATAATCACAGCTCTATGGAGCAGTATCAGACTCATATTCTGAATAGAATTGAGTCGGACTACGTCAGGCTACGTCAATGCCTCCATGAAGTACAAATCGCCATCTGCAATATACAAAGTACTTCATAGTAACCTTCAAGAAACACCATTAATGGAAAAGGAAATTAATGTGAAATCCGATCTCACAGTGAGAAAGTGGCAGCATGAGTGATATTAAATAAATTTATTGTGGATTGCAATAACTAGTTTTAATTGCATTGTGTGAACAGGTGAGCCTGCCTTCAAAGAAAATCCAATGGTAAAATGTAGATGAAACCAATATAGCATTATTTTGGATTGTTTTGTGATGTGTTATATACAACAGCTCATTCTGACCTTATAAGTTTATGGTTGCCATCAATATTCCACAAACTGTTAGGAGCTGGAACAGAATATCTTCTGCGTCTTGCTGTGTGGAGTTGGACAGTGCGCATAGAAACCCCCTCCTGATCAACACATCTCATTGATTCTTGCACTCTACTTCCTTGAAAAACAGGTAAATAGAGATTACAGATACCGGTACATATTTGTTAGTTTGTGGAGACATTGTCCATAATACACAAATGGAAATGCTTGGTTAAGCAATGGGCAACATCAAATATCACCATATGGTTGATAGAACAAATCATTAAAAGAGACTACATTGTGAAGATGATTGTTGGTACTTAAAAAAAATATTGTACATACTGTACTGCACTTGTGTTAAACAATCATTTGTAATGTGGTCATGATGACCAAGCAGCTTCAATTTCAGTCACTGACAAACACATTGATATTACATAATGCCTACAGTGTTAATTAATGTCATAACCAACACATACTAGCCTTCTTACTTTGGATTTGTATTCCTTGAGCATTCAGATGACCCAGCATCATCTTATATCCTGTATTAGGATGACATCTGAGGATCTCCCGGACCACTGCATCCAACTCCGAATGGTCAATGTTGCTGAACAGGAGGTCTGAAACCCTTTAAAAAAAAAAAGCAATTTAAACAACTGGAAATTTCGGCGACCACTTATTATTTATCACTATTTCAGACCAGTTCTTACTGTTGTTATTGTCATACTATACTGTATATTTTATGTACTGTATACCAAACCCACCTAGCTTATGTACATAACACCACTCATAATACTTATTTAATCCTGCATTCTTTGCACCCATCACACTGTGTACATGCTTGTATGTGTATATGCTATATATCACATCCACCTCTGACATGTACATAATAATAATGGTAATAATTAATAACAATAATAACATTACTCCTACATCCTTTGCATTCTGCTCATTGCACTATTGTCTCAATCTGCCTATTTTGTTTGTGGTGTAAATTAGGGCTGGACGATAATTCAATAATGATATATATCGATCGATAAACATATGGTTCAATATAAAAAAACCTGTTTTTTATTTACAGAGCACAACCATGTAATGTGCAATTAATTTTTTTATTATAAACTAATGCCACACACACCCCAGACTCTCAAAACAATGAACTATATCTTTGTTTTTCACAGATCACAATTATGTAATGTGCAGTGTAATAACAACTATTGTCAGTCAACACACCACCAGACTCTCAAACCAATGTTATAACTAAATAAAACTGTAACATGATCAACGGCCAATCTGTAAAAATTAACGTGATGGCAGCTGGCGGCACGTAAATGATTAGTCTACATTAATCGACTACCACAAGTTTGGAAAGTCACCAAACAACCCATTCATCTTCTTATAACGAATGACAGAGTCAGAGCAAACCTCCTGTAGGTCGTAGCTGAAGCAACAAGCAAGCTAACGTTAATAAGCCAATGCTTAGCTAAACGTGTTTACTCACCACAGGTTACTAACCCATTTTGCTTTCAGCGTTTCTTTGATGGGTCTTGTTGTGTGAAGTTATAAAGCCAAATTTAATGATGAATGGCAGAGCAGCTGCTCCTGCACCTCGGGTTCAAGTCGAGTCTGAAGTCACTGTGTGTGCGACTGAAGTTTACTTTCTTTGCATTCTTGTTCAGTTCCATAACTATGTAAATTAACACAAGCTAGGAAGGTTTGGTCTTTCTCCTGTGTCATTCTTGTGAATTGGTAACGTTACACACACCGGTTCTATTGGCATCACATGTAATTGTGCACTCACCTTATGTCATTCTCTGCCATCCGACGATGAACTGTTCTTTCACTGACTCCAAAAAGCTTTGCAATGGCACCAACAGGCAAACTCGCATGTAAAAGTGCTTCCAGGGCGTCCACAGGCAGGATATAAGCAGGGCGACCCGCTATCCCAGGTGTGTGATTAGCGACCGAGTTAAGAAGATGGGACGCTTCCTCCAAATGCTGAAACACTACATTGTCTACATCTGTGTCCATGTGTGCCGCTAACCGAAACAAACGTTCAGTCAGAGCGTCCAAACGAAAAATAATAAAGTCAATACTTCTAACATTGACAATGTTTTCAAAAGCAGTTGCTAAATGCCTCAGCTCACTGATAACTTCATCGTAGCTGGCCATCTTTGTTTTGACCGTGGCCGGTTTCATGTAGATTCGACGGATGCAGCAAAATGCTAACCAACCAATGGGCAGCAGTTGAGTCCTTAAGACACGCCCCTCCTCATTTGCATAATGAGGCAGAAATGCATACAGAAATGTAAAAACGACAGACAGAAATTTAAAAAGGGCAGGCAGAAATGTAAAAAGGACAGACAGAAATAAATAGCGACGAAGAAATAACAGAAATGTAAAAAGGGGAGGCAGAAATGTAAAAAGGACAGACAGAAATAAATAGCGACGAAGAAATAACTAGGGTAAAAAAATACAAAGTAAGAATAAAACAGACAAAAATATTATAACATGCACATAAATAAATACTTAAAAATATAAGTAATTAAAGAATAAAGTTGAAGATTATAAAGGAGAAAAAAATGAAGAAGCTAATTAAAAGTTATATACATTTATGTTTCACTGTATAATTTAATTTCTACTGACATTTATTTGCATTTATTTATTTCTGTAATTATTTTTATATATGGCAGAGTCCGTCCTCCATATAGTCCAGCCTTGAAGTAACAAATGCATGGACTAGTTTCTCAGCATCACCCCCTGGACAGGAGATTTCAAATTTTTGCAATACTCAGCAGATGAAAGAAGGAAATTCTAGAAAGCTCTTTGATATGGGATTTAAATGACAGGTCCTGATCAAAAATTACACCAAGATTTTTTGCTTTATTATCAGATTAATCCCATCCAAATAAATTGACTGACAAATCAGCTTCTTTTTCAGGGACTCTGGTCCAAAGACGAGATGATGATCTGGTTGGAGTATGTTCATCTAGACCTTTCTTACAGAAGAATTTTGGAACAACCATCTCACCCTGGGTCGTTCCAATGGAAGCACCGTTGCCTTTTGCAGAGCCTAATCCCATACGGGTTAGCAAAAATGTTGCAACTTATAGAAAATGTCATTTTTAGTGACATTTATATCCCGATCTTCTAGAGTCCTTGAGTGCCACTGTTATGCAGTTGTTGATGGCGTACCTGCTCCAGCACACCTGAAACAAAGGAATGATTCATGTCCACATCTCTACTTAACAGGCCGACATGTCAGGAGCTCATTTAACCTTTGGTTTCAGGTGTGTTGCAGCAGAGATGCATCAAAAAAGGGGCAGTCAAGGCCCCTATTCCAAAGGTTATTCTCAAACATCTTTGACTGCATGAATTATTTGTAAAGATTTAATTTAAGTAAACATTCAATTCTCACTACAATCAAATAAAAATAGTTATGCAAATCAGAATGATATCTTATTATGCATCAGAAACATGTTTAACCAATCCCTGTTAAAGAAATGAATTTATGGACTCCTTACCAATAATAGCAGCTCTGTTTATGTCTGGATCCATCACTTTCATCTCACTCCCATATATAAAACATTATTAATTAAATTTCTTATCCCTAAAAATGACTTCTATAAATTGTTATAGCTTCTTTGTTGGGAAAAAATATTTCACAACTGCTTCTTCCCATCCTTTATTGCAGTGATATTATATATCAAAACACTACAGCCACTATTCTCTTGCACCTCAATGTGTTGTTATTTTTAAACGTATCCATCTTAGTTATCCTGAATTTCTCAATGAGTATGTAATTCCTTTCAGCTCATCCTGTATTTTGCACTAGAGCCCTGCACTCCCGCGGGAGTTCCGCGGGACTCGCTGTACCCAACACAAAGCAGTGCGGTGCAGCTGCGTGAAGCTGACACCCCACCCACGTGAAAAACATCAGTAAATAGACTGAATTGTTAGTGCTACATTAGTGCAGATTTGTGCCGTTAAAATTATCGTTTGTGCTACTTTGGTTTTAGAGATATTAAAGATAATTTTTAGGTCTTCCAGAGGTCACCATCCCCCCATCAAGCTCTCTAAAACTGGTCTACTAATTTAGTGCTATGTTAGTGCTGGTTTGTGCCGTTAAAACAGTCATTTGTGCTATTTTAGTTTTTAAGATATAATCATTTTTATTTTTGGCTGATGAAAATCACCATCCCCCCATCAAGCTCCGATTTGATCCAAACTGGTCTACTTTTTTAGTGCTAATTTAGTGCTGATTTGTGCCGTTAAAACGGTCATTTGTGCTGCTTTAGTTTTTAAGATATAATGAAGTATAACATAAGGCTTGTGACTAGACGTCAGGACGCATAACATTTTGTAACACTCGCCGACCAAAGTAAACATAAACAACAATGGACCCCGAGAAGAGCAAGTCTCGGATTTCTTTTTAAAAGTTGCACAGCACGGCTGAAAACAGAGTAAATGAGTATTGTTCATGGTTGGGCTGATGTTATTAGATAAAACAAACAAAAAAAGTGTGCATTTTGTGCATATTCTGCCTCTCCTGTCTGTGTCTTCGAAACATGCGCATGCGCACTGCAGTGGAACTCAAACAATGACACACACAGACACACAGAGCCACACACACAGGATGGAGAAGGAGACAGGAGCAGAGCGAGAAGAGCAGCCAGAGATTTTGAAACTTGTTGAATCCTCTGATAAAAAGTACGTGTTCAGATGTTTTAAGGCTTATTTGCACAGATAAGATTTTTTAGATATGGAGGAACAGCTCTCCCATGTATAAAAATAAATACATAAATAAATACATGCTCAATAAATAAATAAGCATTCAATTAATTACCCCCCAAACTACAATAAATAAATATGTAGGTAGAAATTTAATTATACAGTGAGACATAAATGTATATATATCTTATATATATATCTTAATTAGCTTCTTTATTTTTTCACCTTTTTTGTAAACAGTCTCATTTGTTACTTGAATCGACTGTTTAATTGAGGTCTGAAGAAGTTTTCTCTAAGGGACAACCTAAAGAAATAAGATGCCTTTTGTAGGGTTTTGTTTTCCCTAGAGATGTCCATTGAATGTAAACTCATAGCCATGTCTCGATGTGTAGAACACTACACAGTACCTTTCATTTGGTTCTAAAAACAGCAGATTGTTTATTTTTTTGTCTACTAGTAATTACTTTAGTTTTTTTTTTATTATGCTGAACATAAAGCAATTTTTACACTGTGTTATGTCATTGGCTGATCTTTAATAAATATTTTAACCAGTGCATCAGACTAATTTTGAATTGACACTAGGTTGGTACAACGTTAAGTAGCTTCTGTTGTAGTTAAGCTACTTTTAACACATTAGTGTAACTTAGCTTGCTATAATTCTTTAGGTGGTAGCTTTTGTGTAGTGAAGCTTAATATATTGTTGAGTAACTGATAGCTTAGCTCACTACACTGGACAAGTAGCGTGCCCAACACTGCTCTCAATCTTACTAGCGGTTCCTAGCATTTCTATAAGTAGTGGAACCAACTACCAGTTTTAGTCCGTGAGGCAGACACCCTATCTACTTTAAAGGATAGGCTTAAAACTTTCCTTTTTGATAAAGTTATAGTTAGAGTGGCTCAGGTTATCCTGAGTTATCTCTATATTTATGCTGCTATAGGCTTACACTCTGGGGGAGATAGGGACTAGAGCACTCCCGCGGGACTCAAGGGACCCAATGCAGTGCAGCGCGGGACAAATATTAAAAGTTCATTGCCGGTGCAGGCGGGAGGGAGAACGCACAGTGCGGGTTCGGGCCGGAGCGGTGATAAGAGGCAGTCCCGCGAACTAAAAACGTGTTTTAAAATGTAAAATAAGGTAAAAAATTATCAGTCTACGTCGATCATATATATACATAACATGTGCTGGATATTATATGTGGTAGCCTATCTATTCATAAAAACTTTTTGGAATACATCTGCGGATGTGTCTCGCACAGGTTTCCGATTCTGTTCTGTTCCGTTCTATTATGATTATTATTAAATCATTAGGCTATATTCTATTGTTGTTATTATTAGACTTTGACAAAGGCAACAACCACTTTGTCCTACTGCTCGAAACAATGGAGAAGGTTCAATAGCGCGATCCATCTCTCTTTTTATTCAGGATATGCACCATGTGGGACAGGCCATGGCTAGCCCACTTAAATAATAACAATGATTAGGATAACATGTTACATTTTCAATACTCTGGATTCAGAAAAGGTAGCCTAATATTTTTTTTTTCCATTTCACTTGCATTTAAATCAATTGTAACGTGAGCTGTAGACGGCTATTTTCAGTGTTTTTAAGACTTTTTAATGCCACTTGAAATAAAAAATTTAAGCCCAAATTCACAAGAAACACAAGAAAAACCTGCTTGCGACAACTTAACCCAAAGGTTTATTTTAACATAAACCACTGCACTAATGTTTCATATTTTGAAAAGCTTCTCATACAGGAAGAAAGCTAAAAACACACAAATGACAGATATATTTTAACAATTATTTAACTGAATTCACAAACTTTGTTTTAGCAGGGAAAAAATTAATCAGTTTTAAAGCCACAACATAACCAGTGCTAAGTCTTTTTTACAGCTATTTTTCTTTGTATCGTTTTCTTAGTATGTTTGATTCGGTGATAAGTGGAAGCCTTGCAGAGACAAGGGTGGAACAAAACCCAGAAATACCGGCTGTTTCTCTGTAACTCGATTTTGACGCTTAGTGTTTCGTGCTTCGCATGTGCGACTCCCCTGCCTTAATTCCCATCGTTCTGAGCTTGAATGAGTTCTTGCACAAAATACACTGTGCCTCATGTATGTTCCCTGGTACTGGTTTTAGCCATGGAGAAAACTCTTGGCTGGATAACCAATTTTGGTTACATTTACACTTGCTCATATTTTCCAGACAAAAAGTAAATGGCGCATCTCCCAAATGTCCCAGCCGCAACAATGCCCTATTGGTTCCGCAATCAGGACGGAACAAATAATGGCGAACTGTTATTTTTTTTTTTTATAAAAAAAATGTTTTCAATTTTAATGTTTTATTTAGATTACAAAAATAAATCGTAATAAAAATAATCCTATTTATGATGTTTTAAAAAATAAGACCTACGAAAGACTAATTTAAGACATTTCAATACCATTTAAGGCCTTAGTTTTATTTTGAAGAATTCAATGCCTTTTAAGACTTTTTAAGGACCCGCGGGAACCCTGATTATGCTCAGATGCACTCCAGGCAGTGGGGCTCCATCATATGGTGTGTAAAATTACCAATATTAACTTATTATATTTTTATTTTATACGTGAACGTGATGATAAGTGGCATATATGTCGTGTTTTCTCTCTGAACCATGATTGGGAGGAAGTCCCACTGCCATCGAGCACGCAGGTTAAGGAAACCTCTCGAGATTCTGTCCAAACCACGGTTGATGGCAGAGACTATCCTGTTTTTTTGGGGTGCTTTGATTTTTAAGCTGGTTTTAAGATAATCCAGTAATAAAACATCAAATAATGTGTTTAAATTCAGGCCTGCATTCATAAATTTTAGAATAGTCCCATATTCATTAAAGATGTCCTTAGAAATCCTTTTGACAACCTATTTCAGCTATTGGATCTGCGGCTGAGGGTGAGATTTAGTTTTATCGGGCAGAAAGTTATTAACTGGTACATACGTTCTACTATGGTTTGAAGAGCAGCTGACGGGAGGGACTTGCCCGCTGTCTTTAAGCTGTTTATCACATTTCTAATTAGTAGAGCCAGAAAAACAGCGTTGGGGTTCGGAGGCTCCTTCATGGGGTTGATAAAATTGAACGCATTCACTTGTTTTGTGCTTTTGAGTCCCAGGTCTTTTTCCAGACTTTTGATAAGGCAGGAATCAAAAGTGTGTTTCCAGTCTATGGCGGCCTGAAGCAAGTGTTTAGTTGAGCCAAATATTCTATATAAGTCCTGAGAAACTGCAGTTACTATGTCTGATAGATTAGCCTTTAAAATCATATTCACACAAGGCTGTTTTGTACACATTATCAGATTGGAGAGACGATTTCTCATTTTGGCAAAAGAGCTTTGAGGGATTTCATCCTGAACTCTTTTGGGGCATGTTTCTGAAAACCAAGACAGAGAACAGAGCGTTAACCTTGTCTTGTTTTCCAGGGCGTATGCATGCCAGATCGGCTTCAAGTTTAACCTCCATCCTAAAACACAGATATCTTTCTATTTTGCAAGAGGAAAAGAACTGTGACTTGACTTCTGAATGTCCAAGGCTGGTCTCCCTGGTCTTCCCCTGTTTTAGCTTCCTTACACTGGCTGCCAGTACTCCCATATTCATTAAAGATGTCCTTGGAAATCCTTTTGACAACCAATTTCAGCTATTGGATCTGCGGCTGAGGGTGAGATTTGGTTTTATCGGGGCAGAAAGTTATTAACTGGTACAGACGTTCTACTATGGTTTGAAGAGCACCTGACGGGAGGGACTTGCCCGCTGTCTTGGAGCTGTTTATCACATTTCTAATTAGTAGAGCCAGAAAAACAGCGTTGGGGTTCGGAGGCTCCTTCATGGGGTTGATAAAATTGAACGCATTCACTTGTTTTGTGCTTTTGAGTCCCAGGTCTTTTTCCAGACTTTTGATAAGGCAGGAATCAAAAGTGTGTTTCCAGTCTATGGCGGCCTGAAGCAAGTTTTTAGTTGAGCCAAATATTCTATATAAGTCCTGAGAAACTGCAGTTATTATGTCTGATAGATTAGCCTTTAAAATCATATCCACACAAGGCTGTTTTGTACACATTATCAGATTGGAGAGACAATTTCTCATTTTGGCAAAAGAGCTTTGAGGGATTTCATCCTGAACTCTTTTGGGGCATGTTTCTGAAAACCAAGACAGAGAACAGAGCGTTAACCTTGTCTTGTTTTCCAGGGCGTATGCATGCCAGATCAGTTTCAAGTTTAACCTCCATCCTAAAACACAGATATCTTTCTATTTTGCAAGAGGAAAAGAACTGCGACTTGACTTCTGAATGTCCAAGGCTGGTCTCCCTGGTCTTCCCCTGTTTTAGCTTCCTTACACTGGCTGCCAGTACTCCCATATTCATTAAAGATGTCCTTGGAAATCCTTTTGACAACCAATTTCAGCTATTGGATCTGCGGCTGAGGGTGAGATTTGGTTTTATCGGGGCAGAAAGTTATTAACTGGTACAGACGTTCTACTATGGTTTGAAGAGCACCTGACGGGAGGGACTTGCCTGCTGTCTTGGAGCTGTTTATCACATTTCTAATTAGGAGAGCCAGAAAAACAGCGTTGGGGTTCGGAGGCTCCTTCATGGGGTTGATAAAATCGAACGCATTCACTTGTTTTTTGCTTTTGAGTCCCAGGTCTTTTTCCAGACTTTTGATAAGGCAGGAATCAAAAGTGTGTTTCCGGTCTATGGCGGCCTGAAGCAAGTTTTTAGTTGAGCCAAATATTCTATATAAGTCCTGAGAAACTGCAGTTACTATGTCTGATAGATTAGCCTTTAAAATCATATTCACACAAGGCTGTTTTGTACACATTATCAGATTGGAGAGACAATTTCTCATTTTGGCAAAAGAGCTTTGAGGGATTTCATCCTGAACTCTTTTGGGGCATGTTTCTGAAAACCAAGACAGAGAACAGAGCGTTAACCTTGTCTTGTTTTCCAGGGCGTATGCATGCCAGATCAGTTTCAAGTTTAACCTCCATCCTAAAACACAGATATCTTTCTATTTTGCAAGAGGAAAAGAACTGTGACTTGACTTCTGAATGTCCAAGGCTGGTCTCCCTGCCCAGTGGGCACCGTTACATCAATTTGATGTTAAAAAATGGTCAAGATTTTGACTTCCATGATAATTATTCTACAGAAGCTTATAGTTGTAAAAAGGTCCAACCAATAAATCAATCTAGCATCCAAATACTGCCTCATATTGCTAATAAACATATTTGAACTTAAAACAATATCTCTGCACAAAAACTTAAAATCAAATTGACGTTGATTTGATGTCTGGGAATAAGGTATTGAATTGATGTCATATTGATGTCACAAAGCATTTTGGGATAAGGGACTTTGCAACAAGCATGAAGCTAAAATCTTGGTTGTGTTATTCATGCTGAAAATACATGCACCATTTGACCACCAAATGTGGGGAAATGCATTATATTTCAAAAAACATTTTTGAATTACCAATTATTTTATTTTGTTTTTTATAAATTTTTTTTTTTTTTTTGCAACCCGGACAAGCGCGGGTTGCAAATTGTCGGAAAATGACGAATTACCAATTATTTTCAAAGACCAATTCCTCACGGTTTATATACTTTGAAAAATAAACGTTTAAACGTAAGTGAAGTGTGATTGGACGATCGTTGTCACGTGAGTGTTGGACTTACGGTTGCCAGCCTACATTATTGAGAATCACTTCCAGCCAGAAGCTCCACCTTTTGCTGCAATTTTTGGTTTGAACGCGCTCTTCTCGGCTAAAAAAAGGTTTTTGTTGGTAAGTACATTATAGTTATATTTTTATCATTATTAGTGTACACTGACTAATCTTTCAAAACTTTCATGCTAGCAGTTAGCCAGCTAATGCGAATGGATATGCATATAGAGATAGAGATAGATTTTAATCTTCAAAGAAACAATTCAGGACACACCCCTCCCCTCACATTTATGTGGAGGCTGTGTGCAGTGTCATATGTTCATAGATCTCTGTGCATGTGTGTATTTATGTTTTCTTTGCACCCTCTCCCACACCAACACACAAATGAGAGTCACAAGAGGAACTGACAAGTCCTTCCTTAGGTGGGGCGCTCCTCCATGTTGATCTTATACTCAAAACTTGTACAATTTGCTTTTTTTTATCTTTTCAGATTCCATTCAGCTATCACAGCCTGGAGCCAGTGAAGCTGACATTGTTTCCCGGATGGCGGCCTATTTGCGTTCAGCGCCAGACAGGAAAGGTGGTGGTGGTCGCAAGACAGCTCAAAATGTTTAATGACTGCAAAATCTATAAAGTATTTCACTTTAGTTCATTGCTGTTGTTTGTGTACAATTTATAGTTCACATATTTGTAGTCAGTTGCCTGTTAAACTACACAGCTGTTGAAATCAATGTTTTGGAATGTTTTAGAATAAAAATGTTTTGTTATACTTGTATGTTTGATCTTTGAGAGAATGCCATGGGGGAATTTTTGTAGAAAAATAGCAATTGTAGAACATCAACTTAGTTTAGATGATCCAAAAATTATTAATATTAGAACTATTGACAATATACTTTACAGAATTGCTATTTTAAAGGCCATGCATGAAACACTGCAGAACTGCAATACAGCTGTCTTGTATTTCAAACACAATTGGGTTTGTTTAGGCCATTTCCTTTTCAAAGGAACTTTTTTTTTAAATCCTAATGAAGGTCCCGTGAGACCGCACATTTATCTAAGTAAATGAAGCCAAGTCTGTTTGCAATACAAAACGTTGAAGAATCTTTCCGTCTGTGCATATTTTTTAAATGTTTTTATTTGCAAATGTTTGACATAAAAACAATGTCAAAATAACATCAATATCATTATTTGAGTGAAATTTTACAAAAGCTTGACATTGAAGTAATGTCAAAATGACATAAATAAAATCATTATTTGACATACATCATATTGATGTCAAAGGACTGATGTCAATTTGATTTACGTTTTTTGACCAAATTTTGATAACAATTTGATATCGGTGTTTGATGTCAAATTGATGTTTAATTGACATCTTTTGCCCACTGGGTGGCCTTCCCCTGTTTTAGCTTCCTTACACTGGCTGCCAGTACTCCCATATTCATTAAAGATGTCCTTGGAAATCCTTTTGACAACCAATTTCAGCTATTGGATCTGCGGCTGAGGGTGAGATTTGGTTTTATCGGGGCAGAAAGTTATTAACTGGTACAGACGTTCTACTATGGTTTGAAGAGCACCTGACGGGAGGGACTTGCACGCTGTCTTGGAGCTGTTTATCACATTTCTAATTAGTAGAGCCAGAAAAACAGCGTTGGGGTTCGGAGGCTCCTTCATGGGGTTGATAAAATTGAACGCATTCACTTGTTTTGTGCTTTTGAGTCCCAGGTCTTTTTCCAGACTTTTGATAAGGCAGGAATCAAAAGTGTGTTTCCGGTCTATGGCGGCCTGAAGCAAGTTTTTAGTTGAGCCAAATATTCTATATAAGTCCTGAGAAACTGCAGTTACTATGTCTGATAAATTAGCCTTTAAAATCATATCCACACAAGGCTGTTTTGTACACATTATCAGATTGGAGAGACAATTTCTCATTTTGGCAAAAGAGCTTTGAGGGATTTCATCCTGAACTCTTTTGGGGCAGTTTATCATGTTTCTGAAAACCAAGACAGAGAACAGAGCGTTAACCTTGTCTTGTTTTCCAGGGCGTATGCATGCCAGATCGGCTTCAAGTTTAACCTCCATCCTAAAACACAGATATCTTTCTATTTTGCAAGAGGAAATGAACTGTGACTTGACTTCTGAATGTCCAAGGCTGGTCTCCCTGGTCTTCCCCTGTTTTAGCTTCCTTACACTGGCTGCCAGTACTCCCATATTCATTAAAGATGTCCTTGGAAATCCTTTTGACAACCAATTTCAGCTATTGGATCTGCGGCTGAGGGTGAGATTTGGTTTTATCGGGGCAGAAAGTTATTAACTGGTACAGACGTTCTACTATGGTTTGAAGAGCACCTGACGGGAGGGACTTGCACGCTGTCTTGGAGCTGTTTATCACATTTCTAATTAGTAGAGCCAGAAAAACAGCGTTGGGGTTCGGAGGCTCCTTCATGGGGTTGATAAATTGAACGCATTCACTTGTTTTGTGCTTTTGAGTCCCAGGTCTTTTTCCAGACTTTTGATAAGGCAGGAATCAAAAGTGTGTTTCCAGTCTATGGCGGCCTGAAGCAAGTGTTTAGTTGAGCCAAATATTCTATATAAGTCCTGAGAAACTGCAGTTACTATGTCTGATAGATTAGCCTTTAAAATCATATCACACAAGGCTGTTTTGTACACATTATCAGATTGGAGAGACAATTTCTCATTTTGGCAAAAGAGCTTTGAGGGATTTCATCCTGAACTCTTTTGGGGCAGTTTATCATGTTTCTGAAAACCAAGACAGAGAACAGAGCGTTAACCTTGTCTTGTTTTCCAGGGCGTATGCATGCCAGATCGGCTTCAAGTTTAACCTCCATCCTAAAACACAGATATCTTTCTATTTTGCAAGAGGAAATGAACTGTGACTTGACTTCTGAATGTCCAAGGCTGGTCTCCCTGGTCTTCCCCTGTTTTAGCTTCCTTACACTGGCTGCCAGTACTCCCATATTCATTAAAGATGTCCTTGGAAATCCTTTTGACAACCAATTTCAGCTATTGGATCTGCGGCTGAAGGTGAGATTTGTTTTTATCGGGGCAGAAAGTTATTAACTGGTACAGAAGTTCTACTATGGTTTGAAGAGCACCTGACGGGAGGGACTTGCACGCTGTCTTGGAGCTGTTTATCACATTTCTAATTAGTAGAGCCAGAAAAACAGTGTTGGGGTTCGGAGGCTCCTTCATGGGGTTGATAAAATTGAACGCATTCACTTGTTTTGTGCTTTTGAGTCCCAGGTCTTTTTCCAGACTTTTGATAAGGCAGGAATCAAAAGTGTGTTTCCAGTCTATGGCGGCCTGAAGCAAGTTTTTAGTTGAGCCAAATATTCTATATAAGTCCTGAGAAACTGCAGTTACTATGTCTGATAGATTAGCCTTTAAAATAATATCCACACAAGGGTGTTTTGTACACATTATCAGATTGGAGAGACAATTTCTCATTTTGGCAAAAGAGCTTTGAGGGATTTCATCCTGAACTCTTTTGGGGCAGTTTATCATGTTTCTGAAAACCAAGACAGAGAACAGAGCGTTAACCTTGTCTTGTTTTCCAGGGCGTATGCATGCCAGATCAGTTTCAAGTTTAACCTCCATCCTAAAACACAGATATCTTTCTATTTTGCAAGAGGAAAAGAACTGTGACTTGACTTCTGAATGTCCAAGGCTGGTCTCCCTGGTCTTCCCCTGTTTTAGCTTCCTTACACTGGCTGCCAGTACTCCCATATTCATTAAAGATGTCCTTGGAAATCCTTTTGACAACCAATTTCAGCTATTGGATCTGCGGCTGAGGGTGAGATTTGGTTTTATCGGGGCAGAAAGTTATTAACTGGTACAGACGTTCTACTATGGTTTGAAGAGCACCTGACGGGAGGGACTTGCACGCTGTCTTGGAGCTGTTTATCACATTTCTAATTAGTAGAGCCAGAAAAACAGCGTTGGGGTTCGGAGGCTCCTTCATGGGGTTGATAAAATTGAACGCATTCACTTGTTTTGTGCTTTTGAGTCCCAGGTCTTTTTCCAGACTTTTGATAAGGCAGGAATCAAAAGTGTGTTTCCAGTCTATGGCGGCCTGAAGCAAGTTTTTAGTTGAGCCAAATATTCTATATAAGTCCTGAGAAACTGCAGTTACTATGTCTGATAGATTAGCCTTTAAAATCATATCCACACAAGGCTGTTTTGTACACATTATCAGATTGGAGAGACGATTTCTCATTTTGGCAAAAGAGCTTTGAGGGATTTCATCCTGAACTCTTTTGGGCAGTCATGTTTCTGAAAACCAAGACAGAGAACAGAGCGTTAACCTTGTCTTGTTTTCCAGGGCGTATGCATGCCAGATCAGTTTCAAGTTTAACCTCCATCCTAAAACACAGATATCTTTCTATTTTGCAAGAGGAAATGAACTGTGACTTGACTTCTGAATGTCCAAGGCTGGTCTCCCTGGTCTTCCCCTGTTTTAGCTTCCTTACACTGGCTGCCAGTACTCCCATATTCATTAAAGATGTCCTTGGAGATCCTTTTGACAACCAATTTCAGCTATTGGATCTGCGGCTGAAGGTGAGATTTGGTTTTATCGGGGCAGAAAGTTATTAACTGGTACAGAAGTTCTACTATGGTTTGAAGAGCACCTGACGGGAGGGACTTGCACGCTGTCTTGGAGCTGTTTATCACATTTCTAATTAGCAGAGCCAGAAAAACAGTGTTGGGGTTCGGAGGCTCCTTCATGGGGTTGATAAAATTGAACGCATTCACTTGTTTTGTGCTTTTGAGTCCCAGGTCTTTTTCCAGACTTTTGATAAGGCAGGAATCAAAAGTGTGTTTCCAGTCTATGGCGGCCTGAAGCAAGTTTTTAGTTGAGCCAAATATTCTATATAAGTCCTGAGAAACTGCAGTTACTATGTCTGATAAATTAGCCTTTAAAATCATATCCACACAAGGCTGTTTTGTACACATTATCAGATTGGAGAGACAATTTCTCATTTTGGCAAAAGAGCTTTGAAGGATTTCATCCTGAACTCTTTTGGGGCAGTTTATCATGTTTCTGAAAACCAAGACAGAGAACAGAGCGTTAACCTTGTCTTGTTTTCCAGGGCGTACGCATGCCAGATCAGTTTCAAGTTTAACCTCCATCCTAAAACACAGATATCTTTCTATTTTGCAAGAGGAAAAGAACTGTGACTTGACTTCTGAATGTCCAAGGCTGGTCTCCCTGGTCTTCCCCTGTTTTAGCTTCCTTACACTGGCTGCCAGTACTCCCATATTCATTAAAGATGTCCTTGGAAATCCTTTTGACAACCAATTTCAGATATTGGATCTGCGGCTGAGGGTGAGATTTGGTTTTATCGGGGCAGAAAGTTATTAACTGGTACAGAAGTTCTACTATGGTTTGAAGAGCACCTGACGGGAGGGACTTGCACGCTGTCTTGGAGCTGTTTATCACATTTCTAATTAGCAGAGTCAGAAAAAAAGTGTTGGGGTTCGGAGGCTCCTTCATGGGGTTCATAAAATTGAACGCATTCACTTGTTTTGTGCTTTTGAGTCCCAGGTCTTTTTCCAGACTTTTGATAAGGCAGGAATCAAAAGTGTGTTTCCAGTCTATGGCGGCCTGAAGCAAGTTTTTAGTTGAGCCAAATATTCTATATAAGTCCTGAGAAACTGCAGTTACTATGTCTGATAGATTAGCCTTTAAAATAATATCCACACAAGGCTGTTTTGTACACATTATCAGATTGGAGAGACAATTTCTCATTTTGG